TTGTCGAAGAGCGAGTTCGCCCTCAAGAAGGTCCGATTCCTAGGACACATGGTGAGCACTCAAGGAGTTCACGTCAACCCCAAGAAGATCGAAGCTGTACGCACGTGGAAGACACCCGAGAACATGAAGGAGTTGCAGCAGTTCCTAGGCTTCGCCAACTATTACAACAAGTTCGTGCCACAATACGCGAAAATTGTTGCACCACTCATGAGTCTATTGAAGAAGAACACGCCTATCAATGGGAGTCAAAACATCAGGAAGTCGTGGAGCATTTGAAACAAGCACTCACATCCTCACCAGTAGTCATCTTGCTACACCCCGAACACGACTACATCATCAAAGCTGACGTGGTGACCAGACAGTGGTAGCAGTCTTGATGCAAGACTAGGGAAATGGACTGCAACCAATCGCCTACCTCAGCAAGAAACTACACAGGGCAGAACTAAAGTACCCGATACACGACAAAGAGGCTCTTGCTATTATCATCGCCTTCAAAACGTGGAGATGTTATCTCGAAGGACGAAAAACAACTGTCTACATCGACCACTGCAGCCTGAAATATTTGAAGACACAACCAAACCTCTCCATGCAGCAGGTCCGGTGGATTGACTTCTTCGAGACGCACTTCCACTACGACATCGTGTACAAGGCCAGCCACAAAAACAAAGCAATCGCCCTCAGCTGGCCTGCACACGTCGCAGCTATCCAGGTCAAAGGGATGAACCCGCTACTCAAGGGACTCTTCACACACGGGTACACCATCGACCCCGAATTTCCCTTGGCAGAGAAACGTCGCCTACTACAGTGGGACAGTGATATCGCATACCGGAAAGGCTCAACGAAAATCTGGGTACCCAACTACCCGCCTTTGCGCAAGTTAGTACTCGAAAAATACCATGATGTTCTGTACGCTATACACTTCGGTAGTAACAAGACACTCTCCGGTATTGCAAAACACTACTACTTGCCCCACATGGCAGACGAGGTATAGAAATTTGTCACCTCGTACGACACATGTCAGTGGATGAAGAACAGTAAGACTGCTACGGCCCCTTCCTGTCCTAGAACAATGGTGGCAAGTGGTTAGCCTAGACTTCATAACCGGATTACCACCTACCACAAACGGCCATGATGCAATCCTTGTCGTCACGGCAAATTCTCCAAAATGGGACACTTCATCTCGACACATACGACAGCACGCACTGAGGAGATAGCACAACTGTTCATTCGCTACATCATTTTTCACCATGGCATCCCAACCACACTCATCTCGGACCGAGACCCTAAGTTCACTAGCAAGTTCTGGAAAGAACTGATGTCTCTACTCGGGACCAAACTCGCCATGTCATCCGCCTACCATCCACAGAGAGACAGACAAACCAAACGCCTCAACCAAATGGTAGAGAAACTCCTCTGCGCAGTATGCAAGGACGACATCTCCAAATGGGACTTGCATCTACCTGCCCTGGAGTTTGCCTACAATAACACCACTTACGCCGCTATTGGACAAACATCGTTCTTCCTCTGTTACGGACGCAACCCGCTCACTCCACAGAAACCAACTGTTACAGGATCGAATGTGTCGAGGAAAGGTTGCACTATCGATCAGTACAAGGCGCTTTTATACTTCCAAAGTACATCAGGTAACCAGGTTTATCTTATCCTAAGGGAATAGACCCTTCTAGAAGATAGAATCACCCTGCGTATAGCCACGCGAGGCTATTGGCTTTAAGGGACTACGGCAGGATTACACCAGATAGCGCACCAGTACATCCCAAGCCTGGTCGGTGATATAATTATAATAGCAGGATAACCCAAAGGTTAATGGAAAATGGAGAATGGGAAACCAAATGAGATGAGATAAAAAGAGAAATGAAAGAGGAATGAAATAACCAGCCATAGTCCAACCTGCACACGACTTCATAACCATCATGCATCAACTTTGGGACTGGACCCACAAGCCTCATCGATATTCAGCAGCAACAAAAGCGTCAAGCCTATGGCCACAGCAATGACCACACCATCACCATGGGAGACAGTGTTCTACTCGATACCCGCAATCTCGACATCAGCCATCTCCCATCCAAACCGCGACCTTGCTTTTGCGGGCCCTTCCTCGTTCAAGCACAGGTCACCCCCGTTACCTTCCGCTTACGCCTGCCAGCAACCTGGAAGATCCTCAATGCCTTCCACGTCCAGCTTCTGAAGCCCTACCGAGATCCCAATACGATCTTCACTGGCCACCAACCGCCGCCGCTGCCACCCGTCCTTGTCCATGATGAACCCGAGTACGAGTTCGAGTCTGGGCCTGCACACCGCTGTTGTTGGAATGGCAACTTGGAGCTTCGCATCCGTTGGAAGGGTTTTGATCCTTCTGAGGATAGATGGGTCCCTGAATCCGACATGGGTAACGTCCGTCGTCCTCTTCGTGACTACCTTGTACAAGCAGGGTGTTACTTTTACCACCCAGCTTTGAGGGGGGGAAGTGTGAGAGTACGACCTCGTTAGACTTCTTTCTCATTACTATATTTCTTCTCTATCTCATTCTCTGATTTCTCTTGATTCATTCGATCTTTAACTCATCTCATTTGGTTTCATATTCCTCATTTTCCATTATCTTTTGGTTTATCCTATTCTTATAATTATATCACCGACCAGGCTCAGGATGTATTGGCGTGCTATATCTAGCGTAATCCTGTCGTAATCCCGTAAAGCCAATAGCCTCGCGTGGCTATACGCAGGGTGATTCAATTTCTAGAAGGGTCTATTCTCTTTGGATATGATAAACCTGGTTACTTGATATACCTTGGGAGTATAAAAGCGCCTTGTATCGATCGATAGTGAAACTTCCTCTCGACCAATTCGATCCTGTAACACCTTCAGCCTACTTAGGAATGACCTCTTTCAGCCACAAAGCCTGATGTTAGGTCAAAGCACCCAAATCCAACATCCTCCCCAAATGACTTCCATTAAGTTCTCAATATCACAAGTCCACCCAAACCTTGGGCCATTGTCAACCACCCTAGGACCCATATGGTTGCCTATAGTATGGTTGCCCTTCAATTGCTGCACCGATGGATGGTACGAGACTGCACATGATGGAGAGTGGTAGAAATATGTGCAGCAGCTCACAGGGCATACGCTGTACATTGCACGGGTGGGTGGTCAAGAAGCTAGGGTGCCGTGTAAATGGGTGATGTGGTGGTCCTGAGTGTCGAGAGAGCTGCCGCTTGAGATCCTCGGGAAAGGGTCAAAGGTGCAGAGCCTGGGGGGTTATGGGCACACTGATCCGCTACTTAACCTCATGAAGGGCTGCAACCATGAACTCTGAGGGCCAGTCAGACTCATATCCGGTCAGTAGCACGTGGTACAGTGCTCTTCCATTGGTCAGTTGTGTGTTCCATTCCATTGCTGTACAGTTGGGTGCGAGCCAAGTGTGATAGGGGGTTTGTCTGACTACATTCGAAAGGAACACACTTTGAAGGGCGTGGTACAAGTGGGGTGCAACCCCGAAAAAGGCATCGTGACATCACTTAACCGGGTCGTGACCATGCTTAACCATTTTGAATCGTAGTCCAGTGGACTCCATCCCTCTGTGACGTCCCAAAGCATAAAATTGTGATCACTGATACCACGGCCAAAAGGCGAGGGGAGGTCTCGACTGGCATCCACAATTGTGTTGCATACACGCCAGGCCCTAAGATTGGTTTTTGGGCATGCTGATTCATCATCCTAGCCCTGCGGACTTTGGCTGATTTGTCAGCCCCCCCCGCTGTGCAGAAAGGCTGATTTTGTCAGCCTTAGTTTTTTGTTGTTTTTTTTTTGTTGTTTTTTTTTTGTTTTTTTTTTTTCTGAAAATTACAGCCTTTGTGTGAAAATACACGCTGAAGCAAGAATGATGTATATATCATCACACACCTCTACATCGGTCTCTACCTCCTCCCCCCAATGCATGGGGCTGAAACGAGGGAAGGGGGGATCGAAACGGAGGGTGGGGGGGGATCGAAAAGGAGGGGAGGGGGGAATCGAAACGGAGGGGAGAGGGGGCCGAAACGGAGGGGATGGGGGGATCGAAAGGGAGGGGAGGGGGGAATTGAAACGGGGGGGATGGGGGATCAAAACGGTGCTGAAGGGCTGACGCCTTCCCTCACACAGCCCCCAGCACACACTGGCCGATGATTTTGGTCAAGGGCCAGTTCGCCCTCACATATCGTCCAGCACATAACAGGCGCTAATTTTGGCTAAGGGCATATCAACGCCCTCATACGCCCTCATGGTGTGATTTACGGGGGATTGCGTGTCAAGGTGCGGTAAAAACAGGAGGGGCTCCGAAACACAGTATACTCGGTTTCAGACCCCCCCCAGAGAACTTGCTGAAAATTCAGCCTACACCCCAACCAAAAACTGTGAAATCATCAGACAACACTAAAAAAAAAATGCCTGATTTTGTCAGCCTCACCTTTCACAAAAAGTCTTACAGTTCAGCGTGGGTTTAAAAAAAAAGGCTGAATCTGCGTAAAAGGCTGATACCGTATTCCCCCGGATAAAACACCCACGGGTGGCACTAAATTTTGATGCAAAATTTCGTGGGGGTGTAATTAGTGGCACTTTTTGTATAACGCCCGGGGGCTATGGAATGACAATTTTATGTTTATGAACTGGAATTCAACTGTGTTGTAGACCGTTCTTTTGTGCCGGATTTTGACGATTCGTGCACGTGATCGCGTATATGGTGAGGAGGACCATCGTCATGCCACGTTGCAGGCAAACAATCATAGGTTGCATGCGTCACATGTTGTCACGTTCTGTCAAATCGTGGTGGCAAGTGGCAACCTCGACGCCACAATGTGACAGCGAACCAAAGCTGGAAGGAATCTGCTGCAGATTCCTTCACGACCCAACCAGGATTCTCCCGCGCTGCAGTGTTGACTGTGAGGAGTGTGTTCCCATGAGCCTCGGTACTGTATCAGACTCGCAACATTCGCCTGAGTGACGAGAATTCCAGGCATGGTAACAGCTCTACACCGCATTGAACCGATTCGCGTCGAGCTTGCACTGCTCAGTGACGCGTGAGTCTGATAAGAGACACTCTGATAAGAGGTAAAATCTAAAGAAATACAGTGAAAATGAACCAGGGGGGTGGTGTATAGGATTCATGCCAAAAACTAGGGTGGTATGAATATCCAGTTTAATAAAGCACCCAGGTCCGCCCAAACCACCCATAGGTGATTAATTCCCGCGGGTGTTTTATCCGGGGGAATACGGTATCTAGGGGCCTGATACACACCCTTCAAGGACGTGAGGTGGGCGAATTGTGCAAGAGATATCTGGGGGAGATGATACCATTTGTGTACCTGCTCTCATGGTAGTAATGAATTGGTAGCTAGAATGAGTGATACAGGGTGGTTTTGTCCTAAGGTGTTGTACCGTACTCTCTATGAGTATGCACCTATCTAGCCTATAACATATACAAATATTTGACACCTGCTGCAGTATGTCTCCCGCACATGTGGATGCGTGTAATCTTCTTGCACTGATCCTGCAATAAAGCCCCATGTGAGGCACAAACACATTGTTCTCTCAGGTTCCTTGCTCACTACGGTACCTCACAAATTAGTAGATGCACAGACATTCAATGAGCCTAGCTCTTTTCCACTTCCCTCCCACACCGCTTCCTACCTCCTCCTGCTGCATGCACCCCTCAGTCCTTATGGCCTCTCCAACCATCCTCCATGCACCATGCTCCTGCATCCTGCAGCCTTCACGCGCCCCCTGCCTCGCTGTTGCACCCTCACCCTGCTGCTCAGCCCCCCTCTGCCGCCCTCCCTTATACCTAATCCACACTTACTCGGGACCTTAGTCTGGCTTAGTCACAAACCCCCTAACAACCCTATCCCCTTGTTCTGCCGTTGTTCCATCCCCCCTTCCCATTTCGTCTCCCTCTACTGCTCCCTGCTCCTCTCTACCCTGCAGCCGTGCGACTCCCGCTTAGCACATCACAGCTGACTGACAGCAGGGCAGCTCGCATCCACTCACTCCCACTCACAGCCTCATGCCACTCACCCCACCTGCTCTACATTCTCATCTGACCAGGCTCTCTACCTGCCATCCTACAGAACTACCCCCCCCTACTCCGATTCTTCCCCAGCGCATCCCTTCGCCTGTTCCTCCACCCCTCGCGCCTCATCAGCTGCTCGCCAGGTCCCCAAACCCCACCCCAAGCTCATCTCGCCTCGCCCCACCACCTGCACCTGCCTCTCCTCCTCGCCGCTATCCACCCTCCTGCACTCCCTTTGGCCCCTCGCCTCTGCCCGCTCACCCCAAACAGGTTCAATCTTTGGCCGCTTGGCAGCAGGCACCTGCTCTTCCACCCACTGGCCTTGCTCCACCTTCCACTCCTTTCCCGCCCCACCTGCTTCCCCCCTTTCTCTCCTTGTATCTCCTCTTCCCCCCCTTCCCTCCCCACTCTCACTTGCACCTCTCTCCCTCTCTCCCACTACATTCCACATGCGCAAATGCCCTTGTCTTCGCTCTGGCATGACTGCTTCTCCCTCTCCTCCTCCCCCTGTCCGTTCTCTTCCTCCACTCCCTCCCACCCGTCCTCCACCCACTCTTCCCACTCCTTCCCCGCCACCTTCACTACCCTCCCCTGTCCTCTCCAGCCACCCAGATGTCTTTCCACGAGGCTCCGCACCAGCAAGCGGCCTGCTGGCGCGCTCAGCCCCCTCAGTGGCACCAGTCACCGCCGCACACTGCAGCACGGGCCTCCCAACAAGGGTGTCACCACCTTTACTGCTTGTGCCTGGCTGGATGGCCGCAGCAGGGGAGAGAGAGGCGAGAGAGGCAGAGGGGGGGCTGGGAATGGTCTCCAGGGCTAATGTGCCTGAGGCGCATTCAGCAGCCGCAGCAGTGCCAGTGGCTGCATTGCGAGATGTGGCAGGCAGAGAAGCAGCAAGAGACAGTGATCGAATCTGAGGTGCCACCGCTGCTGCTGGAGCTGGCGGTGCCGTCACTACTGCTAGTTCCTTTGCTTCCACCATATTTCCAGGACTCGAGATGAACTGCCTAGCCATGCTGCTCCTTTGCTGCTGCTGCTGTGGCTGTGTGAGGGGCAGCTGTGGTGGCGGGGTGTGTTGCTGCAGGGGCTGGTGCTGCTGCTTTCGTCGCCTGCGGTTGTGGCCAAGCAGGCGCCTGCGGCAGCTGCGGCGACTGTCGTCAAACTCACACAGGTCATGGAAGCTGCGACCGGCGGGGGGGGGGGGGGGGGGGGAGAGGGAGGTCAGGGAGGGGTACATGTGGCAGCGATAGAAAGAGACGGGGGTTCCAGTGACTAAAGCCAGACAGCAGAGAAGAGCAAACACTGCAGTTGATGTATGGTGCACCCTGCTGACCACATCCCTCCAAAACCATGCGAGGTGGTGGAGAAAAAAAAGGGGGAAGAAAAGCAAGGGAGTGGGGTGGTGGCAAGGAGCAGGTGGCAGACTGGGAGAGATGTAGGAGGTGGATCAGGAGGAGGGAGACGGGAAGGAGAAGGGAGGAGGGAAGGAGGAGGGAGGAGGGGAGGAGGAGGGAGGAGGGAAGGAGGAGGGAGGAGGGAAGGAGGAGGGAAGGAGGAGGGATGAAGGAAGGAGGAGGGAGGCGGGAACGAGGAGGGAGGAGGGAAGGAAGAGGGAGGAGAGAAGGAGGGATGAGGGAAGGAGGAGGGAAGAGAGGAGGAGGGAGGAGAGAAGGAGGGAGGGGGGATGGAGGAGGGAGGAGGGAAGGAGGAGGGAGGAGGGAAGGAGGAGGGAGGAGGGAAGGAGGAGGGAGGCGGGAAGGAAGAGGGAGGAGGGAAGGAGGAGAGATGAGGGAAGGAGGAGGGAGGAGAGAAGGAGGAGGGAGGAGGGAAGGAGGAGGGAAGGAGGAGGAGGGAAGGAGGGAGGAGTGAAGGAGGAGGGAGGAGGAGGGAAGGAGGAGGGAGGAAGGAAGGTGTAGGGAGGCGGGGAGGGTGAGGGAGGAGGGAAGGAGGAGGGAGGATGGAAGGAGGAGGGAGGAGGGAAGGAAGAGGGAGGAGGGAAGGAGGAGGGAGGAGGGAAAGAGGATGGAGGAGGGAAAGAGGAGGGAGGAACAGAAGGTGAGAACGGGACAGCGACAGTTCAGAGGAGGGTGCAAAGCGGGGAGGTAGAGAGAGGTAGAGTGGGCTCCCTTTAGCCCAGCACAGAGATGCAAAGGAACACAACCGGAAAAGGGGTGCGAGGTGAAAGGAGGGAACCAGGTGCGCGTGGACTGCAGTGTAGTGGCAGTGATAATGTGCCTTGACTCCCCTGCCATACCATGCATGCACCATGCACACAAGTACACTACACATATGAACATCCGCATGCGTGCGCGCGGTCGTACCGGCTGCACTGCTGGCAGAAGCGCTGCGCCTTGGCCTGGATGTGCACGTGCGCGGCCTTGGCGTGTGCCTCGCACACGCGGTGGCGGCGGTAGTAGTCCTTGTGCGACACCAGCTCCACCGCACAGCTGTCCACCTGCCACCCGTGCCACGCGCGCGCAAGCGGGCAGGAAGGGGGGAGAGAGGGCGGGGAGGAAGGAGACGGAGGGGGAGGAGAGAGAGGGGAGGGAGGGATGGGAGAGTGAGTTGTGTGGTGTGAGTGGGTGAGGCCAGGCAAACCGCGCAACGTCCGTCAACAGCCGTCCAGCTGCTGCTGTCCTCTGCTGCTGGGCCCCTTCTCCCGCGCACAGCCTCATCCGCTGCCCTCCATCCGCTTTCGAAGCGCTGATGCCCACCAGAAGGCCGCACGGCGTGGAGCGAGAAGGAGTGAGTCAGAGAAAAAGAGGCAGAGAGGCAGGGGGGGAGGGGGGAGGGGGGAGATCTAAGCATTAAGACGCAGGCAGGCTTCTCTTCCACGTGGTGTAGGTGATAGTGTGTGCCTTGTGTCCAGACACCCAGACACACAGCACACAAGCAAGTGGAACAGCAGGGCACCACCCCTCTGCCTCTCTTCACCTGGCAAACGAACGCCACGTCACTGCTGCCACCTCCGCCCCTCGCGCTGCTCCCTCCCCCCACCGAACCCCCTTCCACTGCACCCCCTGCTGATCGCCCAGGCCCACTGCTTGCACCCCCACTGCTCGCCCTCCCTGCCCTGCCGCTACTCCCCCTGCCCCACCCCCCTGCCTCTCCCCTCGCGCCCCCGCCTGTGTCCCCTCTTCCAGTGACCCCACTGCTCCCTGCACTCCCACTGCCCTCCCGCTCCCCCCCGCTCCATCTCCTGCCACCGCCGCCGCCTCCTCTCCCACCGGCTGCGCCTCTGCCCTCCGCCTGCCTCTCCTGCCCCATCTCTCTGCCCTCCCCAGCCCTCAAGCCCACTGCGCCAGCAGCAGGGACAGTAGCAGCCAAGGCACCAGCGCTGGCCCTCACCATCCCACCAGCCGCCATCCCAGCACTCGTCTCCACTGCGCCCCCGCTAACCAGCCTGCCTGGCTCCGCTCCCCCCTTACCGTCCACACCCGCGTGCACCAGCAAGCCGGGCCTCAAGCCCAGCCAGATATCCCCGCTCAGTCCAACCCCTGCCCCTTCTCCTGTGGCCCCTGCCAGTCCCCCCTCTGCTCGTGTGCCTGCACTTCGTGCACCCGGATCTCTGATGCCACGAGCACGCACCAGGAAACCTGGAAGGCCCTTTGCTTCCTCCGCCTCCACTTTCCGAGCCTCTTGCTGAGCTGGCCGCAGCGGCTTCTGATCCTGCTCGAGGTCCTGATGATAGCGCTGCTGATGCAGATACTGCATGTCATTGATCCGCCATTCGCCCTCCCTGCCTCCTCCCAATGTCCCCTTTCTCTGCTCCCAAGACCCTTCCCCCATTCCCCTGCGCCTCCAGGGCGACATAGCTCCTTCATCCAACTGCTGCTGCTGCTGCTGCTGCTGCTGCTGCTGCTGCTGCTGCTGCTGCTGCTGCTGCTGCTGCTGCTGCTGCTGCTGCTGCTGCTGCTGCTGCTGCTGCTGCTGCTGCTGCTGCTGCTGCTGCTGCTGCTGCTGCTGCTGCTGCTGCTGCTGCTGCTGCTGCTGCTGCTGCTGCTGCTGCTGCTGCTGCTGCTGCTGCTGCTGCTGCTGCTGCTGCTGCTGCCTGCTGCCTGCTGCTCTGCTGCTGCTGCTGCTGCTGCTCTGCTTGCTGCTCTGCTGCTGCTGCTGCTGCTGCTGCTGCTGCTGCTGCTGCTGCTGCTGCTGCTGCTGCTGCCACAGCTGCAGCATCTGCTCGTGCTGGAGCTCCTGTTGCCTCTCCTGCTCTAGAGCCTCCTGCTCGCTCACGGTCAGCATCCGGGGCAGCCCATCGTTGCTACTGCTGCTCACGGCACGGGTACCAGGGAACCCCAGGGACAGGAACGCTCCTTCCAAACCCTTGCTGCCCTCCCGCTGCTCCTCCACCCCCACGCTTCCCCCCAACGTCTCCCTGAAACCGCCTGCAGCAGCAGCAGCAGCAGCAGCAGCAGCAGGGGCTGCTGGTGTAGGGTGGGTGGAGTGCGGCGGTGCAGCAGCGGTGCTGCGGGGATCCTGGCAGTGATGCCACTCCATCACCGCCGCCGTGCCTTGGATCCCACACGCCTCTGCCTGCGCCACCCCAAACAGCCATTTCACCCCTTCCCTCTGCCCCCCTTCTTCCCCTCCTGCTGCTCCTCCCTGCCCTTCTCCAACTCGTCCTCCTCCTCCCCCGCCTTCTCCTGCTGCTTCCCGTTCGCCCAGCAGAGCAAGTCTAATCTCTCGGGCCGGAGGCAGGTCCCTGCTGTGGGGAGTGGGCTGCGAGAGAGCAAGGCCGCTGCCCCAGTGGGCGCTCGCTGCTCTCACCCGTCCCACTGCCCCTCCCTGCCTTCTTGCTCCAGATGCCGCCGCTGTTGCCGCCGCAGGGCTGCTGTCGCTGCGACAGGGAGAGACACCGAGCCCGTGAATGAGGGAGGACGGGAACCCTACCCGCGACGCCTCTTGCTGCTGCTCTAGGCTCGTGTTCCTTAGACCAGTACTAGCACCAGCGTGACCCTGCGGTTCGTCCCGCCCGCACGACACCACCAGAGGCGGCGCCGCAGCACCTGGCGGCGCTAGTAGCTGCAGCGGTGAGCCCACGGCGGCGGCGGTTGCGTCTCCGAAGGACAGGGGGAGGTCGCCGGCGTGATGCGGACGCTCAGCTGCACGAAACACTGGGAAATCACGGTAGGCCGAAGAATGCTCTTTATTGCCGCGGGAAGGGTTAACGCACGGGTAGTATGCGGCTTCTGCCATGACAGTGCTCGGACTTCCCGCTCCCACCGGAGCTAGTCCACCCTCCGCCCCCTCCGGCAGGTTCCACGGACTCCGCGGGAGATTTCCGACACCGCCCGACGCTCCGCGGCTTCTGGCGATTCCAAGGGTAGGAAGCAAGAGCTGCTCGCCGTCGGAGAGGAAGGCGGCGGCGGGGGGGGCGGCCAAGTGGTGCATGGGGATCAGTGCGGCTTCGCTCGTCGCCTCGTCGCCTCGCTGCGACGGAGCGCCGCCGCGTACAGCGTGATCTTGCGGGTGCATCGCCAACGGGGATATGCTGCTACCATTGCCAATTCGACGGCTCTTGAAACATCATCACAGCTTTTCCTTCTAACATCTATCAGGTACGAATTCTCCTGGAATTAACAATTTCTCACAGTTTTTTTTTCAGAATCGTCTATAACATCTCGTCCCCTAGACCACTAGGTAAAACGAGTGTTTCAGTGGCGCAGCGGATGCGTTACATCGTCCAACCGGGTGACTACAAAAAGCACTTATGAGAACTTTCCGGCCTGATATTTCGTGAAACACCCTATCACGAGTCATTGAGCGATCGGTAGTACTAGTACCCTAGTTTTACTGGTATCACACGCTACTAGGCAAATTTCTGTGCACGAGTCTATGTGAATCCTCGATGCGATCTCAGGTCGAGCAGAGATGCAAACGGGTTTCTGTTACAGCTGGAGGAAACACGCGAGGGAGAGGTGGGACAGTAGGACTGTCTCACACATGCCCACTTGTTTTGTTGGTTCCTCCAGTGCTGGTCGCCAGTCGTGGTGGGGTTGCGAAGCGAGCAACGGTGCGGAACTCTGACACAGGCGAACTGTACTGCAACAATTGATACTTGAGGTTGAGGCGGAGGGGGAGGTGAGAGAAAGGGTGTGGCGTGGTGTGTTTGGCTGGGACGACTAGGGGTGCGCGCAACCCCGTTCATCCGTCCAAGGTTTGGGGCACCTGCAAGGTGGACCTTCCGACTGGACGAAGAGACGACGGGTCACGGACTCACGGGTCCAACCCAACCAAATCCACCAAACAGCACTGCAGATGCCAAATGCCCAGTGCGCCCCCCCCCCCCCCCACCCCGTGCATGCTGCTGCGCACAGAAACCGCGCAACAGTGTGCGCGTATGGTGGGCTTTGGAAGTTTGGAGTGCAGTGAGGGGTCCAATAAAACTTTTGTCGTTTCTTTTAGCTGAGATACTGTACCCTTACGAGCCCAAGAACTCTAACCCCAGCGAGCGGGGCTCCATTCGCTTGTGAATGCCTGGCCCCCATGAACACTCGGGCGTTCAGATCACTATTTATCAAGTTACTTGAACTCGCAAGTTTATCGTGAGTCAAAAACTTCTTGTCGCATATTGGGTGCGAGCTGGAGAAAAAACTCTCGCATAAACGATGGCAAAACGATCTCTAGTAAACACGCCCTAAAGGCGTAAATTGTTGAGAAAATGATAGTATATCGTTTAAATTCTCTTTAAACAGTCTTCCGATTCTTCCGATTCTTTTCAAACAGTCTGATTCACCATCTGTTCGTGAAACTCATTTTTCATCTATACCATCTGGTGTAGGCCAAATGGAGCATTAAAGTATATGCATGTCTTCTAAAGCATAGTGAGATTGGAGCATGTAAGGTATTGTACATAGGTATGTGAAGGTGGCATAGATTGATGGACTGATGCCCCCGACAATCTGCCCAGATTATAAGATATAATAGCCTTAGGTACAGAGTCAAATTGCTGCCCCGAATTTAACATGTGGTACGTTACCCTAATAGCTGCAACCTTTGTTGGAGCTACGGTCGACCACAAAACACAAAATACAAATCATCACACGAGGACTTCTTTTTCGTGACGAAAAATACACATCTGCAAGTGGAATGAAACTCCGTACACTACGAAGGAAGGAAGTGGACACGATGGCTGGCTCCGGGGCACATACGTCTAGGAAACGACGACTAGATCCTGTTGTTGGGCTAATGGTGCGGCGCCAGCACTACTTGCTACGCAATGTGTGCTTTCGTCGTTATTGAAGAGGGTAAGAACAGCAATCTTTCAATGTGGAACTGAACAAGCCTGCTCGCCGGTCCAACTGCTTCTTCGCCTCCAGCTGTGGGAACTGTCGTTGCCCGGGAGAAAATCATAACAACCCCGTTCGCATTTGGTGCCCTATTAACAAACTTCAGACGGAGTCATGAAATGAGTGCAGACTTTCCTCGGTTTTCAGGACTAGATTAACATGATGCCAGAAGTAGAACGGAAGGGGCTCGTAACCTTGCGGCACAGATTTGTGTTGCTTTAAATCAGTCCGATTTCTATGAGGTACAACGTGGGAAATCCACAGTCGCCGTCATGAAATGTTTCCGTTTTATACCCCTAAGAACAACCCACTACTCTGGAAGGCCACCCTACTTACCTTAGTAAGTAACCCATAACCAGAAACCGCCCGAAGCTAGAGGTGCTGAGCTGACCGTGGTGGTTCAACACTGGCAGCAACCAAAACAAGGCTCCAAAGAATCTTGATTCCAGGATGTCCTTCGACATACGTACGACAATGCGTTTTGGCCGCCCATACGCACGTGGTACGACAGTCGATAACACCAGATCACGGGCAGACTCGACGACGACGAACCCCAGTACACCTACCCCGCGATAATTTTTACACCCTGAAAATGGGCGGCATAATAATTTTTGTTTCCACCCTGACCATTTCTGAGTGTGTCGACAGTACCCCCTTGTTCCTACAGCCTAAGCTTGGCAGGCTCCCCGCGGGCCAAAACTTTTTGCACTGCCTAAGCTGACGTCGGGTTTCCTGACTCGAGAAACACTAAATCGAGGAGTTAAAGTGTCGTTTCGAAACCCAAGTTCGAATTGTTTTCAAAGGTATCCGGATCTGGTCTTCAGGAGCTGCGTTCCGTGGGTGAATACCCTCTCAGCGGCACTCCCTGTGAAAATACTGGGTAGAGAAATACCGCATGATAAGTGTACAGTTCTACACAGTAACTCACACAACTCAGTTGAACTGTACACGTTATAGTACACCTGATCTACGGTAAATTCGAATGTTTTTCTCACGCGGCTCAAAACTGTTCCCCAAAACATTCAAAACACGGGCAAATGGGACATTAGCCCGGAAAATGCACAGTAACTCCCTGGCAAAATATCGAAGGGTTCAGTCTGAATTTAGGTATCAATGCGGTTCGGATCGGTACCTGGTGTTTGGGACTGAAAATAGGGGGACACGACCAGGCGAGACTTGCAATTGGGACCGTAGGGGTGACAAGATTTGGCGGGAATTGCAATTTGGACTGTTCGTCTGAGAACCATAGCGTGGAGCAGGTGTACACCACTGTAAGAAATTGTACTGTCTGACCTCTGTCCATCCAAAATTTGCGGCATGCAACATTAATAAAGAACCTGACTCCAAAGGGCAACGCCAGAGTCAGGCTCTATACGATACAGCACCGCACTTGACCGCGTGAAAGAGAACTGACTGATGGTGCGACGACTGTCCCTGAGGGCTTCTCCAGCGCGAACGTTTACGATAGACAGACCTCGGTTCAGTAAGATAAATCGCGATCGGTAGCGTGTTTTTTAGCTTAAACACGTTGGACCACAGTGAACCGTATAGAGTAAGTTGTAAGCTCACGCGCTGGACACGCCCTCAGTTCAGCTAACCACCTCGCCTCGGAATTGTGAACATTGACCCTGTATTTTCAAGGGATTTTGGTCAGCCAAACCTCAAAGCTTATTGAGAGTAGTCCCGACATCGGAAATTATACGACGTCAGCTATTTTGAGCACGCTCTAATGACCCCGAGAATTCGACTGGCCCTGATTCGTCCTGGACTTTTGCAAACACCCACAATAAACCAGCAATTCCACCTTCCCCCTATCTCAATCTGATCCCTTAGCCGTGTGAAGCTCTAGCCCTGCCAACGCTTTCGTTTCCTCAGCTCTCTCGAATACAGCTCAGCTCAATGAGCTCCTTGACGTGCGGCGCTACAACAGAGGCAGCATTGGTTCTCCTCGGCGAACTCTGAC